TTGTTTCTAATAGCTTTTTGTTACTACTAGTAAGGCACTTGTTACTAGAAGCGATGCACTTGTTCCTAGTAGCTAAGGGTGCTGGGAAAAGGTTTTGGAGCAAAGACACATGTGGATGCGTGTGAAGAGGGAGACCCCACTGGCGCCACGGGTTTTGATCATTTTTCCAATGAAATCAGACATTCTTCCACATGGGCAGCCGGAAGTGAAATCATCTAACAAAGCAAGTCCGGACTTATGGCCTCCAATCTAGAAGCGATGGCCTCCAACCTACTAGCGATGCTACTGCTGGAGTGGGTTGCCAATCTTTGACTTGCAAGCAGTTCCTTTCGAAAGTAGCTCGCTGTCACATGTGGCCTTCGTTGGGACGACCCACAGGCCGTGGCTGACGTCGATCTCTTAGAGCTTTGCATCACTTCAGCGCTCCAAGCAAGTGCGATGCAAGACGTAACGATGCAAGCAGCCAGACTACTCCAACCTGATGAAGATGGTATCCAGAAGCGATGGCCTCCAACCTAGCGATGGCCTCCTACTCATCATGACTCCTCATGAATCTGAAAACTGATTCTTGCCCTGGCAACAGAAGTGACAGCCAAAGAGGGGTGTTGAGTTTCGAAGGTGATCTCGACGGATAGAAGCAGAGGCCATGATTTTTAGACGTCTTGCTTTTCAGCAGGGTCCACCAAAGCCCACGAAAATGATGTTAGGAGGACAGTTGGGAAGACAGTGAGATGTTCAATGTTGGAGACCATCGCTACTAGCTAGGTTGGAGGCCATCCCTAGTAGGTTGAGTTTGCGTATTTTTGCTGAGGTGCAAACTTTTGGCCTCTAAAGTAGGTGACACCGCGCGGTGTCCAAGCCAAGCCGCAAAAAGAACCCGTCCAACAGGAAGCTGAGCCGAATCAGTTTAGTTGAGGTCTCTTCGAACGTGGACGAAGTTCGGTCAAAGACATCGTTGTTTTTGCTTCACCGACCCACCAAACATAAACTAGCCTTTTCAGTTGTGGTTGATTTGTACTTTAAATGACCCAATTTTGTTTGCTTGGATCTTTTTCTACATGAGTTGGAACAAAGCTTAGTTTGCAATCGGCAACATGTGTTTGAACCTTTTGTTGATCTTGTGTCAAACCCTCACACCAAATGCCTAGTAGTAACAAGTGCCTTACTAGTAGTAACAAAAAGCTATTAGAAACAAGTGCCACACTAGTAGTAACAGGTGCCTTACTAGTAGTAACAAAAAGCTATTAGAATTAAACTAAATTTAAATTAACTCTTAACACCCCCGTGCCTGGCCGAACCGAAAAGCCGTCCAACTTTTTTCGAAACCTGCCACGAGCGACCACACGGCGAGTTGTGATTTTTGAGCCGCAATGTTTTGAGTTTTTGAAACGCACCCGCAACCCTTAGCTTTTCGCTATGGCTTTTGTGCCTTCCTGGCGACCCCTTCCAGAGGCTGACCGCCGCTTTGTTTGTCGCGATGGTACATAGTTGAGTGGTTTGATTTGTTGATCGACAAGCAAACTTGCCTTCATCATACTTGTTCTGACAGCAGACTCTCTTAGGTTGGAGGCCATCGCTCTTAGTAGCGTCCTTGCTCCTAGTAGCGATGCCCTTTGTCAGCGTCCTTGCTCCTAGTAGTAAGGCCAGCCCCTAGTAGCGTCCTTGCTCTTTTTCTTAAAGGGTACACTAGTTTGATGGAAACCGATTGAAACGGTGTTGCGGAATGGTAGCTTGCTGCCAGGCTCGCAGCACGCGAAGCCTCCAGGATGACCCAACAGAAACGAATACGTTTCAAACGTGACCCAAATGACCGAGCCCTCAAGTTTCGCATTAGTAACAAGGGCATCGCTATTAGTTAAGTTTCATAAAAACTAGGAACCAAATGAGAAGCGTGAGCTATCCGTCCAGTTGGTAGCTACCTCAGTTCCTACTAGCTACCTCTCCCTACCTCTGGCCTACCCCCCCCCGGCGCGTGCGAAAACAAAACGAAGAGGACGAGGTCCATCGACGCTCCAGTTTTGAGTCGACAAGATGCGGTTCGAGACCTAGAAGCGGTCGCCGTGGAGTCCCACGAAGTGATCCACCAATCGTTGGGCCTGTTTTGAGCGAGATCAAAATCATCGCTTTTGTTCTTAGTAGCGAACCTTGTTACTACTAGTAAGGCACTTGTTACTAGAAGCGATGCACTTGTTCCTAGTAGCGTCCTTTTATATACAAAACGCCTGTGAGTAGGGAAATGCGTGCGCTTCGCGCGCTTCTTCCCAGTCCGCAGGATCAGACGGACTGCCGTCAAAGCACCATCAGACCCGTTGCAGGAGAACGGACCTGTGCCGACCTGTGCCATGTAGTGGCACTGCACAAAGTTTCGCAGAACTTCAGAAACACTTGGACATTCAGAATTTTATTGAGATCGATTGTTTCTCAATTTGTTTGTCCCTTTCTGTCGTTTCTTGGACTTCGAGGACTCGATCGCTCTCATCGGGCTGGAGCTCTTTCAGCGTGTGCACGAACAGCGATGGCCACAGGTGTGGTGTGCATCGAAGAGTCACTAAGTCGTCACGGTCACAGGAAGTGGTCACAGTAGAAGGAATGCTTTTTCAATGTTTGTGTGACCAGTCGTGTGCATTGAATATGATCGAAGATTTTCTTCAATCCCTCGTGCTTTCTGTAGAGGAGTAAAACATTGGAGATTTCTTTCCATGTGCTGCTGAAGAGACCCTGGCTTTCGGTGCTCATGCAATTCTCCACAGTGAAATGTATCAGAGATTTCAGATGTTGTTTGTGAGTTTGCAAGACTTTTGTCTTGGAATTGAACGTGGGAATGCGGCTTGGATCATGTGGCAGGCTTGATTCTCTCAGCTACCCGAGCAGGACAGGTTCATTTTGCATTTGCTCCTTGTATCCTTCATTGCTTTGTTTGCCCATGACGAACGCAACGCCATTTTTGTGCCTGTCTTACGCCTTCAAAGCACACATATTTGAGACGTCTTCGAGACCGCAGTTCGGTCATATCTTGCCGATGTCCGATGTCGATGTGTAAGTCTCTTCGAATCCGGGCTCCCAACAAACGGCCATGGAAAAGCAAAGCGAGCGCCGCGGACTCGCGCTGGGGGTGGTGGTGGCCACCTCCGCCTCCGTGCTCGGCCTGGCGGCGTGGTACGTCCGAAGACAGCGGAAGCTTCACGCGGTGCTGGCCTCCTGGCCTTACTAGGAGCAAGGACACTACTAGGAACAAGTGCATCGCTTCTAGTAACAAGTGCCTTACTAGTAGTAACAAGAAGCTACTAGGGGCTCCTGGCCTTACTACTAGGAACAAGAAGCTACTAGTAGCAAAGGGCATCGCTACTAGGAGCAATGTTCGCTACTAGGGCCGGGACGAGACGACGAGACGACGAGACGACGAGACGACGAGACCGGGCATCGGAGCTCGAGACCGTTTTTTGTCAAGCTGGAGGTTTCGTGGTCAGAAAGAGAGAGGAACATCACACGAGCAAGAAAGGATATGAAAACATGAATGTGGAGATTGATTTGTTTTGATTGTTGATTTTTGGGCTCCACCCAGGCGGCGATCGATGAAATCAACCTGAAAGATCCTCGGGCAGATGCGCTACAGGAAGAAGAGTTGAAGCTCGCGAGCGCAGAGCAGAGCCTCACGGCGCCCAAGGCGTGGGGAACGATGTCGTCTTACGCCGTTCGAAGATAGCAATGGCCTCCAACCTACTAGCGTCCTTGCTCCGAGTAGCGATGCCGGGAGCCCCTAGTAGCTTCTTGTTCCTAGTAGTAAGGCCAGGAGCCCCTAGTAGCGTCCTTGTTACTAGTAGCGATGCCAGGAGCCCCTAGTAGCGTCCTTGTTACTAGTAGCGATGCCAGGAGCCCCTAGTAGCGTCCTTGTTACTAGTAGCGATGCCAGGAGCCCCTAGTAGCGTCCTTGTTACTAGTAGCGATGGCCTCCAACCTAGTGTTTGAGGAGCTTCGTGGTAAGTTCGGGCAACATCCAGAAGCTCGTGCACCAGAAAGATATCAGTCAAGAGTGGAGCTCTAAAAAGAGTCACTCATCATTGAAACAGCATTTTCCAAGGTATCACGGACGGTCTTAGCGGAACATGATGGAACAACAAACCCTGATGTACAAATACAATATCGTCATTGAGAACTCACATGTTTTATTCTGAAACCGTGACAAGAATCACACGTACTCTTGCAAACTCCATGCTCCTTTTTTTTGAACCCCCGTCATAGTTTTGTTTCACCTTGTATCACAGTGACGTGACTTGATTTGAAGAAACCCATCTGAACTCATGCCCTTCGAAAGCTTTCCTCATACTTCGTCGTTTGTTATTTCCTCGCCGTATTGAACTCCTTCCGGTACAACCTAGAAGCCTACTAGCGATGGCCTCCACCCTAGTATCTTCTTGCCAGTGGTAATGCCAGGAGCTACGTTCGTAGCTTCTTGTTACTAGTAGCTATTTGCTCCTAGTAGCAAGGCCAGGAGCCCCTAGTAGCGTCCTTGCTCCTAGTAGCGATGCCCTTTGCTACTAGTAGCGAACCTTGTTACTCCAGGAATGGCTGTATGGGCAGCGCATGTCTCGGCGGCTGCGCTGTTTTGCGCCCTGGGCCTCGCACGTGGTGCAGATCGCTGCGCGCGCGCAGCACGTGAAGCGCTGGGTCTCGGAACGCAAAGCCTATCCCGAGGGCACCGCAGGCTATCGACAGTGGAGGACTGGCACGGTACCCAAAAAAGCAAACGACAAGGCGTTGTGTCTTTTTCGGCTCCAAAACCGGTGAAGCAGTTGGATTGTACAAGATGTCTTGAGGATATCAAGCATTTGGCACGCAAAATGGGCAAAATGCAAAGTATTTTGACAATTCTCATCCTCACTGGTTGTTAGTATGCAATCGTTTGGCATTCTTGGGGGCACACCTCCTTTGTGCAAACAAGCATGTGGCATCAATGTTGGATTCATGGCTTTTAGCCTCTTTAAAAGCCTTAGACCCTTGGACACTGTGTCTCTGAAAGCATGGGGATTTCAATGAAGGATGTGCAGAACAAGTGTGTTTTTTCAAGAGCACGGCCAAACTCTCAGGCAGGACTTGGGCAAGATGCATGCTGAAATCGCCAAGGAGGAGATGTTGAAGGTTTCGGGGGCGCGCAGTGAACATTCAGTTCGACCTAGGCTTGTTTCGCTGCTGGAGCACACTTCAGATATACTTCTTTCATCTCTACAGAGCGTAAAGAGCCTCTAGTAGCGTCCTTGCTCCTAGTAGTAAGGCCAGGAGCCCCTAGTAGCGTCCTTGCTCCTAGTAGTAAGGCCAGGAGCCCCTAGTAGCGTCCTTGCTCCTAGTAGTAAGGCCAGGAGCCCCTAGTAGCTTCTTGTTACTAGTAGCGATGCCAGGAGCCCCTAGTAGCGTCCGATCGCTCTTTTTTGGCGAGGTGGGCTACAGCACCAAGGAGGCTTCTCGAGTCACCAAGCTTCTGACCAAACAAGATATCAAAGGTGACAAGGAGAGAGGGCCATATCGCTGGTAACAAGAGCATCGCTACTAATAAAAAGGACAAAGTGTTTCCTTTCTTTTTCTCAAATGTTTGCTTTTGAAGCCCTTTCCCCCCTGAAGTTCTTCCAGGTTCCTATGCCGTAATGCTCCTTGGGGGTGATCACGTAGCACTCAAGTTGGAAAGGAAAAAGGCAGAGACGATCGCAGGAGGTCCAGTTGTTGGAAGATGTGATTTGCTTGGTCTTCTTGGAGTTCTATTGGTTTCCATTTTCCAAGAAGCACGTGCTGGAGCCGGAGAAGGTGAAGAGACGAAATGTGACAGAAGGGACCAAGGGAGGAGATGTGTGAATGGACCTTTAGGTTGTTGCGAATGGAGATCCTTTCCCTTTTCTGGATAGTTTTACGAATGTATATGGTGAGTTGTTGGTTGGTTACTCCTTCATCTGGACACAGAATTGTCACGCTACCTCTCTGGCTCTTTACTTCCACCGGCAGGCAGAGCAGACATCTAGCAAGAGCTAGTACAAACAACAGAGCTTTTTAGTGCATTTTCAATTTTTTTGGCGAAGCTGCTCCGTTGCAGGATGCAATGGGCGAGGAAAAACTCCTGGATATTGTGAAGAAAACATGGGTGAAGATGAGCCTTAGCAAAAGATCCAGGGCCGAGAAAGTCTTGCTTTGCACAAAATGGTGAATAGTGTATTTTTCTTGTTCGCTGAAGCAGGTCGGAGCATGTGCTTTTATCCTGCACATGTAGGACCTTTGATGTAGCAACAATGCACGGTCACGTTTCCAGGAGTGATCAAGGCCATGCTGCCGCCTTGCAGCTGGACTTGGCTGAGAAGCCCAAGGCGCACAACTGGTGCACCAGCCAGCCTACTAGCGATGGCCTCCACCCACTAGCGATGGCCTCCAACCTGAGAGGGATGGTCTTCAGCCATGGCCTCAAGGCTAAGAACGCTGGCCGCCAACCTAGAGCGATGGCCTCCAACCTAAGAACAATGGCCTCCAGAGCGATGGCCTCCAACCTACTAGCGATGGCCTCTACCCTGGCACCTAGTAGCTTTTTGTTCCCAGTAGCGATGCCCTTTGTTACTAGTAGCTTCTTGTTCCTAGTAGTAAGGCCAGGTGCCCCTATTAGCTTCTTGTTCCTAGCAGCGATGATGCCCTTTGTTACTAGTAGCTCCTAGTAGTAAGGCCAGGGGCCCCTAGTAGCTTCTTGTTTCTAGTAGCGACGCCCTTTGTTACTGGTAGCTTCTTGTTCCTAGCCAGGGGCCCCTAGTAGCTTCTTGCTCCTAGTAGCCATGCCCTTTGTTACTAGTCCCTTCTTGTTCCTAGTAGTAAGGCCAGGGCCCCTAGTGTAGCTTCTTGTTCCCAATAGCGATGCCCTTTGTTACTAGTAGCTTCTTGTTCCTAGTAGTAATGCCAGGGGCCTCTAGTAGCTTCTTGTTTCTAGTAGCGATGCCCTTTGTTACTAGTAGCTTCTTGTGCCTAGTAGTAAG